TGAAGTTATTGTGAGCATATTCCGTAGTTCTGATCAATAAATCAAGACCTCACACTCCCCCTCGGTAAATTTTGTAAAGATCAAGACGTTTATCATTCGGTAACACAAGATTTGGCTGCATTTTCAACTACTTCCACGGGAAAGCTCTTCCATAAAAAGAAATCAGAAACAGCAAAGTCCAGTAACATTCTAAAAGCCGTCACAACGGATAATGTGCCTTCCTGTGACCCATAGTTTCAGGAGTCGAATAACTTGAAGAATCAACTTGTGTGTGAACAGTCTAATTACATCTGGCATAGATTAGCAGAATAGGTTATCGGAATGTCAATGAAGAACAATATACAACAACCAGGAGTAATACTCTTGGCCACACTAAGTGCAGTTTGACCAATTATGCCAAGCTCCAGTAAATTCGTTTCTACTCCCTAAAAAGAACGCCCGATCATCTGGACTTATATTTCCAAAAATCTCCATGGTGCAAGAAAACCCGAAGCTTAAACTACACTTAATGAGCTGCTTGGTTGTTTGATTTTCCCAGCATGACAGCTACATCTTACATATACATGCAGGTTGTACAAAGTGGTTTTCTCTAACTGTACCACTGTATAACCACAACATTGGTAATCTAACACTGTTTTAGGTATACGAATATCGAGAATTAATTCCGCATATTCTCCGCTTGGTCCTACCTTTCACAAAATCTTTTGGACGACTGGGTTCAGGTCATTATAAGAATTGGATTGGCTACAGGAATTAACAAGTATGAGTTCCGCACTATTCGCCACCATTCAGCTTAAAGTTTTTGTTACTTCTGATTACTTTTAATAGGAATGTGTGTAGCGGTCATGAACATCAATTTACGGTAAAATCCCTAAGAAGCAGGAAATTTGGATGACGAGACCATCGACAAAAACTTGGAATAACGCAATGTGCATCCCATGTTTATGGTGGCTAAAGTAAAGCTTTTTATACTACCCATAGTTTAGAACCCTCCTTGTGGTTCGAGAATTCAGTTAGTTACTAAATAGCATCTCATGGATTCGGAAATATCCAGCTCAAAATATTCATTTCAAAAGGAAAAAACTCTTAATTTACCTAGGACACGAAGCAGCCCCGAGGCTGATTTACATCTCTTGAGATAGTTTACAGGAAATATCTTCTGTTTAACAACAGATTTTAACCAAATCGTACAACTCCCGAAAAGTCTTACCGGGTAAGAAGGTGGACCAAAGCGAAAGTGAACGTCTCATTCCCCCTTTTAACAAAGCAAAATCACACAACTGCTGACGCTTGATGATAACTCCATTCCCAAGGAAATGTGGCCAGAAACGTAAAAAACAAATTCCTTTGCATTTATCTTTAGTAATGATAAAACAACCTAAAGCAAAACTGGTTCTGAGTCCATTTTTCTACGGGACAAAACTTCTCCTCACTAATTGTTTAACCGTAAGACACACCGTGAGTTCACTTGTTCGAATCTATCTGGGACGAATCTCCTCCGGGAATGTAAAAACTTATTACAGCATTATTTAAATTACATTCTGAAAACACAGCCTACAAGACCAATGTCAGTTATGTATCCTAACAAATAGTTGTCCATCAGCTCGCATAGACATAACGTAAAGCTCTTCATAGAGAACGTGTTTGGACAAAACTCTTATAATGAAATTTGTCTGACTTCCGTCAAAAATTCCCTCTTCAACCTACTTCACACCCAAGACACACAAAAAAGGTCTTCATCACTAATGCTGTGGGTAATTGGTGTGCTTATATATCTTCTTGTCTAAATGATTTGTGTACCATCAATGCAGCTCGGTTTGAGAAAAATCATTGTTTTTTCAACCCAAGAAAGGCGAAAATTTCGAAATGTCTGTAGGGTTCTGTTAGACAGTTTGTCTACGACAAGCTGCTTTTGACAGACCGCCAGCGGATTGTGCCTAAAAACTTTATATACTCTCTAGATGCGCTTGAATTTCAGTACTTATCAGGTTGTGTTTACAGTGAACATTACAGCAATTTTCAATTAATTTCGACTGCGCAAAAACATTCATTTCACTGATGATGCAGTGCTAGCCTAATGCCTGCGTCAGTACGCGTTAGATTTCGGGCAACATTTAAATGAATACGAATTAAATAAAATATTTTTCCATGTTCCTATAAAGCAATTCTTTGTGTACTGACAATTCGCAGTACGCAAGAAGGATATCGTTGTGCAAATCAACAGATGTACTACTAAAAAGCATGTGCGGATATTAAAAAGTGCAACAAAGAAATTTAAAAATGACAGAGGAAAACGGCATAAAAGAAATCGCATCTTTTTACAAGGGTATGTGCCGCTCAACAGTTTGTACTTCAAATCCTTTAGCCTTTTTTGGGTGTTGTAGCAACCGGATCAAAAATCGAACGTTTTGGCTGGAGAGCGATTCACCAGACCAGGTTTTGGTTAACAATATTTTAACTGTTTGAAATGATGCCCACGAGTGACTAGGGAAAGGTTAATTCTCATTGTTTGCTATCGGATTAATTCACTGCATATGCTCACACGAAGGTTTACCAATGCAACAACAAACTGGTCTCCCTGGAATCCAAGCACCAACCTTAGATTTTCTGATAATTTTCTACAAGTGGTGATTCTCTTTTCTACTCTGACTTAGTGAACTAAAAATAACCCCATTCTCATATACTTTATGTACAGTTGCAGTAATATTTCGCAAAAAACACTCCATCGTGGCGCAGACTACGCAAAAGTGAGCTGGATGTAAAAACGCAATGACGTTTAGGTTTGAGATTTTCGGATAAAATACCATGCTCATTGTTCAGTAGTGCAGATTATTTTCTAACTATAAGGAAAACGCATTGCTACTTTGTTGCACCTGTTAAACAGAAATAATGGATCGAATCTTGTGCAGAGGTTTTTGCACTGAACCTGGTGCAGACAAATCTGAAGAAATGAAATGAGGTACAAGTAATATATTCTGTACAAATGTTATTCCGGAAATAGCTGACTGCATTATACCCAATTAAAATCCATCGATGTTAAACAGCTGTTTTCGTCGTCCTAACCAGAAGTTACCTTCAGTGTTTGGATTAAAGTGAGAATTTTTAAGAATCGATTAAGGTTAACGAAGCCGAGAAATCAGGGCACACATGAGTCTAAACGTCTGCTACAAACATTGATTTTGACTAAATTACCTTGAATCAGAAGTCTTGAAATAGTGTCTGTCTTAAAAACTCACGAAAACTACAATGAACTTCTGATACTCTAGGTTCTTAAGAAAAATGCCGGCATTCGGTCAATAACTTTAAGGATTCTGTTTGTACCAGAAAATAATCAATTCCATCGCAATGGACAGCTAGCACGTCTGAACATGAATGGATGAAGAAATCATTCTGGAGATGAAGCAATTTGCGAAAAAGCAATCAATATATGTGAATGTTACTTCATGAAATCCATATATCAATGCCGAAAGTTTTTGCCTGTTTAGAAATACACGGTGAGGATTCCGCTCAAATGACAAATAAACAATCATATGTTTAGATAAAGGGCTACCAGTAACTTTGATTGTAGATTTCACGGAGAAATTATTTTTAAAGCGCAATAACTTCTAAAAGTGCTGATCAGATAATGATTTCAGTTTCAAATTCGTTGCTTGCTGTCTTTCAAGTGCATCTCTAGACCGTCTATACACTTTTAAGTTTACTTTTGTCTGAGGGTGGCACAAAATGCTAACTGAAACTCTAAAATATTTGAATAACATCTAATGCGCTCCCAGTATAAAAAATTAAAACTCCTGCTCGAAAGTGAAACTACTTTACACGGTACACAGAAGTCAGATAAGCTAGATAAGTGCTGTACACTTTTTTAAGGATAAGGATACGCGTTCACCAGCCGTTCGTTCTGCCATGGAATTTGATTTCCGCTATGTAGTTTGATAAAAAATTGTGGGTTGACTTATACGCAGTATTCTTCACTCGGAAAAGCAACTTTTCCTGACTGAGTGTCGTTTATGAAAAATGGCCCTGTTAAGCTTGAAATACGAAGTATTTTCATGGAGATCGCCAATGTCTACAACAAAGTTTGTACCGGTTTGCATTCAGGAGCATCAGATATATAAAACAACTGCAATTATCTAACAAACACCGCGCCGGCCACTTTTATGAGCATTGTAAGCTTATCTGGTATGTAAGCCGTCTTTTTGGCAAAAGGACTCAGTGGTTAGAGCACAAATTTACTGACCGAATTGTCCGTGGTTCGAAACCTACCTCCGCTTCTCGAATACCTCTTCTAAGCTCGGGCAACCTGGCAGTATCCCAGCCCTCATGCTTCCTTTGGGTGGCATGGCAGCTAGGCATCGAAAGGGTGTTGCAGCTGAAAGATTTAGTTGTAGTTAGGCACCAACAGTTTTCTACAGATGAACGATGTGTATGTACGTGTGCTATGTCCTCTCTCAATGTTACTTTTTAAGGAATTGTTATAGGTGACACTGTGCTATAAGTGTTATCTGCCATCCATTGCCTTCCGAGGTTGAATCTTAACAGCTTTATTATCCTCATCGTGTTATTTTGATTGATCATGCAGAGGCTCGCATACTGGTTGTCCAGTACACCACTGAGAATTTTCAGCATATATTCACGACCGATAAGCCAATTGTATGCTGTATGCCCTTTCCCCTTTGCGAAACTGTCGTGATCGAGAGGACAAAGTCGTTGAATTTTACGAAGGATATAATGCAAACTTCAGAAATACTGATCCCTGTAAAAAATAAATAATAATGTGTTGAACAAGTATCAAGTCTTTGTCTATACATGTGTGGTAGATATGTACTCACTTGTTTTCGAGCAGCGGATTTGAAAAATGCAATTCATCATACAGCCACTGTACGAGAAAAGTTTCTAATTTCCCAAGAACATCGGGCTGTAGGTTCCGATAAAAGATTCGTCGTGGCAAGCCACATAATTCAAAAACCGTGAAAGTTTGCGCTTTTCTGTTGGTTAAATGCCTAAATGTTTTGGGCCACAAGGGCGGCACGCTTGCTCTCTTCCAAAGTTAGGGGCTTTTGAAGTACCGAATCGATTGCATCAATCCACTTATGCCTCTCTTCTTCGGTATCACTGAAGAACACGAAAGGTCTCGTACCCGTATTTATGGTAAACGCATAGCCTGTGTGTTTCTTCCACTGCTCTGGAGTACCCGTGACCACAGAAAATCCATTTTCGTGAGAACCTATGAATAACTCCCCATTGGCAAATGCGCTCAACGGATTATGTGTATACAAGAAGTGTCGCTGTGAAAGCATACACCATCTCCGCCTCCATGCATCGGTTTTACGTGGACCAGTTTTGCTTAGCCATCCTACCATGTCAATATCTCTTGTCAAACCTCTTGCTATTTCGGCTGGAGAGAAGCTGAGGCTCATTCCCATAAAGTTCATGCAAGTTCGATGAAACTTTCCCGAGCGTATGGCATTGTACCAGTTGATTATGTTACGACTGTCTTCAGAGCGAATGAAGATGTGCCTTGTCGCATTGTCTTGAACGCACTGAAGCAGGAGAGTATGAGGTGGAAGACCAAACAGCTCCGTATCAATGAAAGTGATATTCAGTTTATCTAAGTCCATTGACTCCTTTGGAGACGATGCACCGGGTTTGTAAAAGTACCGCAAAAAATTTCGTTCACTTGACAGCTCAAAAAAACGTTCACAAAATGTGTCTGAATCTCGCAGTTTTTTCAAGAGTATCCCAGATTTCATAGCGCTCGAAAACTGGCACTGGGCACCACGTGCTGAAGCACCTTTAGCAAATTCTTCGTGGATGTATTTCGATTTTACAAATGCTTCGCACAGAAAGTAAGGACAGTTCACACCGGGCCACGGTCTCCGGTAGTAAACAGGAAGTTCTGCCTCCAAACGTTCATTCACGGAATCATTACCACCCTGAGTCATAAATCTTCTCAGAGCTTCGTCATCCCATGTGGATTCCTTTATTTTATCCGGTACGATCGTCCTTATATCGTCCCCCAATCTCTGGTGAGGAACTGAAATATTTCCGTAAATGGATTACAAGCCCAAACCCACCTGAGCATCTTGAGCAAAGGGAAACTCCAAACGTAACGGATGCGAATTTCACTGGAACATCTTGGCAGTCAGCGCACAACCTGTTATCCTTTTTTTGCATAAACTCGAATAGTTTGTTCACGTCATTTACACCAGAGTCCATGTTGCAGTCATATAACGCGATTCAAAAATGTGACACTTCTAGGTCAACATATCATGGAGTAACACAATCCACCCAACTTCAGTTCACATGCAATAACTGTGGTTTGCAACGAATGGCACGTAAGATCAATCCAAACTAACTAATCTTTTCCTTCACTCGCACCAAAAAGCAGTTTCCAAGGGCATATGAAGAGAAAATTACGTGTCATCACCCTCCAAGAATGAATCAATATGTGAAAGATCCTGGCCCCGTTCAAAAGCACATACTATACGCTTGCTTTTGGCTTCAGCCGATTACCTTCATATGCATCCGTTTTTCTTCGTGCATCATGATCTGCGTTTTAGTCTTCCAAGCCATCTTTCTGTCGGCTTTTATACACGTGAAATCTTGCTTTCTTTCAGGAGTGACGGTTGTGTGCATATTCGTACAACGATAATTTTCCTCCCCGAGCACCAAGCAGATGATGTGATCGTATGACTAGCTGAGGATGCGGCAACTAATTGCAGCTCACTTAACGCAAAAGTGTTGGACTGGGAGTGGTGACATACGATACAGGTTATTTGACCTGCACACCATAGCACATGTAGCGACCCAGTCACACACACACTTGACTGTTCAACTCAATCGCCCACTGGATTGCGAGGCTTGTCTATTTTCTCATACGCACAAACACGTCGCAATAAGCTGACACACCGGACATCGATTGTCTGCACCGCCTAGTCAGTGTAGCAATCACTCATGTGCCGACGAGCCCGCATACACGCACTGGGACCTACATAAAGTCAAACCGAACCCAGTCAAAACACACAGACTCGCGCGCGCGCAGGGAGCAGGAATTCAGCCTCTCCACAAGTCCACGGACAACTATGGAGTACGTGTAGCAGTCTAACTGCGGAGAAAAACACGCTTCCGCCGTCCGGACTTCCACCAAGTGACTCCCATATACGATAAGTTACTTTTTTGACTTGCTCCCATTTCACACTGTATTTATTTTATACGTGTCGCAACCATGTTAAAAACTTCTATTAGTGCACATTCACCTTCTTATTTGTATTATGACTATCGTCACCTGTGCACTAATACACACCTTCCAACTTTTATCCACTCATGTAAGCTGGGGCTCCCACATTGTATTCTTCCACCTGAACACTCCACTAAGGATAAGTAAATCAATGTTTTACGTTCTCTATGGTATACATTAAGTCGTTCGAGCTATGCGCCTACCTCCATTTTGGGCCCGGAATGTTCATTTCAGTTGGTTATATAATGTTCATTTGCACGATGGGGTCTCATTGTTAAGATCATCCTGAAAGGATAATCCCCCGCAAAAATAACCAGATGAGTGTTCCCGCCTCCGCTCTCCCTGGATCTCAACTTTATCGAGAGCGTTGTCGCTTAGTGCAGACTGCCGAGGAGGCTACTTACCATACGTCTGTTTTCAGTTTCCAGGCGTATATTTTCTTGCTTCTACATCTCCCTTCACCGTCGTCTAAGCTTCTTACGTCCGTGGCACGTAGCATATCTACCCGCCCTCCCGCATCCTTTGCATTCAATTTTGCTTCGTAAAGTTGAACGTCAAATGAGTAACAATAGTATAGTCGTGCTTTGTATCCATCTCGCTGTTTGAGCTGATTATTGGACCAAGGTTTACCAGGTTTTACGGCCGTCAGTCAGCGTGTGCGCCAACGGGGATCGAATGCCTTTGAATTCTGCCCAGTTCAGTGCGAGTAAACAGCGGTGCCTCCACAACTCGGGCCCGGTTGATTTCGTGATACCCCACCCCATATTTGTGCTTTCCTGCTGGGTCATCGTAACATGATGCAGCTGCTGTGGGTAAACTACGGAGACAGCAGGCCTGGAAAGCTCCATATCAAAACTGGGAGGGAAATCACCTGTGCGCAAATTTACAGGCCCAGGATGGCCAGAACTTTCCTACCTATTTTCTTTTATTTACTGCACTCATAAACTCCTCATCAAACAAAACGGCCGGTTCGATCTTTCTGCACCCTTTCTTGCATGCTGTCTGCAACTCTACTCTCACTAGGTTCAATTCACCCGATCTTCCTTGACGTCAGAACCTTCAGGCAATCATCACAAACCTAACCTACAACGGTTCGTTTGGTGTATTGAACAAGATGGTGGTCCTCACACTTGTCACATCTGGGCACCATCCAATTCTTCTGAAATCCGACAAGTGTCTGTACTTTGAGAGTAAATTTATAAGTTTGCGATTTTGTATTCATGATCGACAAGCCAAAACTTGCGCCCCTATCGAAACTCATGAACTGAAAGACCATGAGCGGTGAGGTGCATATGGTCATCATGCTACTCGGTAACGCCAAACTGCACGTGGTTTGATCATGAGCATTGTCATATTGTGGAACATTTTAGAGAACTGTTATCTTTCACTGGACTCGGGTAAAATTCGTTTTGTGTCAAGTAGCTCAGGTTGTCGGACAAGGCCACAAAACTCGCAAACCGATAACATGGCAGCTCTTGACATGCAGATTTAAGTAGATTGCCGTGAGAACGAAAAAGTGATCACTCAGAACTACATCAGGAAGGCTTTTACTCTGGATTGACATTTATACTATGATCGCCGGGCATTCACACTCTTGGCGGTAAAAAATGGCTGGTCGTGCAAGGCTGAGTCCTATTTCATCTCTCATATTTTGCCAAATATGTTCTGTTCTAGTGGGCTCATCGTTAGCAACGCATCATATAGAAGTGGTCAAACCACAAGAAACTCGGCCGCCCGGATCACCTCCGCCGGCATGACGTTCCCAGGCGTGCGTCAATCTTGAAATTGCAAACATTGGTGGTTCTCATATGATCGCCGGCACACTCTTGGCGGTAAAAAATGGCTGGTCGTGCAAGGCTGAGTCCTATTTCATCTCTCATATTTTGCCAAATATGTTCTGTTCTAGTGGGCTCATCGTTAGCAACGCATCATATAGAAGTGGTCAAACCACAAGAAACTCGGCCGCCCGGATCACCTCCGCCGGCATGACGTTCCCAGGCGTGCGTCAATCTTGAAATTGCAAACATTGGTGGTTCTCATAGCCAATCCAGTTTGAAAAGAACCAATACTCAAGTAAACGTTGTTTATTTTAGCGCCAAAGTATGCAGCTCACTGAACCCGACTGAACAGGAGTGGCGCTGCCTGTTGCAACACTAGAAAAGTGTAATAAAACTGATGTTTATCCATAAATGGTAGGTGGCGTACCGTGGGGCATCATCACAAATTTAAGTCAAAATAAAAGCATTGCTGGAAGGTTTTGTTGGTGCAGGGTTTGTGAAAAAAGGCAGCATCATAGACGGTGGGTAGTACCGTCACTGACTGAAGCACGCCCACACTATTTTCGCCGAAACTATAGGTAATTCAAGTCGTACATTTAACGTTGAGTTATTCTAACCCACTTGCAATTTCCAGTGACATGTTACCCAATGCATTTTGTTTGAGTGAGCGAAGTTTAGAGTTCACAGACCATGACCGATTTGCACTCTCTCACCTTTTCACACAACATAAGACACGAAATCACACTTAGGCACACTGGCGTTCTTCGGCGCTGTTTAAGAATAGAAACATCTAAAGAATATCGAATACAAAGTTAACCCTGGAAGACCGGTTGTTGACGTTTGTTTGCTTCACATTCCTGAGCTTTAATGATTGCAATTATAATCGCAAAATATATTTCGATCTGAGAACCTGGTCACAACACATTTTCCCGTGGATCCAAACTTACATCAAGTACAACATTGTTAGACAACAGCATGAGCTGCGCAATGGCGATGCAAGGGCCATCACTGTGGATGATCCCCTTTCCCAGATACGCATAGCCAGCCTGTAGATGAGACTGCTTCACGAGATAGCTGCAGGTATCATACCTATTATGGATATGACGTTCTATAGGTTGTGACCGCTATAAAGCGCCATGATAACGGTAACCGTTGTCACTCACCTCGACGACTTATCGTAACCACTGGGTCCGTGTCCATGTGCGACGCCGATTATGGGACATCGCCTATGCATAGTAACATAATCCAATGGCCAAAGACGGTCCTCCATACACATAACTATGCGCGATGCTGCCTATCTTTGCTACCTATAGTAAACACAAGGCCAGTATCCATCCGTGCCGGTAAATATGAGGCTTCAACTATGCGTGACAGTCTAATCTGATGAAATGTCATACTCACTGATGTACTCGACGTCGTCTTACCCGGCTACTTGTCGTACCTGCTAGTTCCGTGTCCATGTGCGGTGTTGATTAACCGGTAACTTAATCTGACCAAATCCGTCGTGCTCGTAACTGTAGGCGTTGTTAATTATCTTTGCCACTTATGAGAAACACCGGGCCAGTGAGTGTGAGCCCAAACTATGCACACATAACTACTCTAATGGCGACCTACGGACTCCATACTCATAACCATACTCGATGTCACCTGCCGAGGCTAATTTTAGTAACTGCCGGGCCCGTGCACTGCTCGTAGCTGACTATGTTGTCCCTAACTATACATAATAGACTAATCTAAAGAACAACGGCGGTCCTTCGTATCAATACGTCGTCTACTTTCCAACACCCCATGCCTGAAAAATACACAACCACCTTTAACGACTCATGTTTCTATTTATTAATTGCAATGGTAAGCATTATGCGTGGTCAGTCCACTTACCAGCTATTTACTGGACAGTGTTTCTGAAATATGTATGGTCAATTACGGCTAGTACATATCTTCCGCGGCATCATTTAAATACAATTAAACAAAGTTGTAGCGGCTAACTCATCAAGTGCTTTACAAATCGTTTGCCTGCAATTCCCGGTCGGTTTTCGTGCTGAGCCTGGAGACTTACTGTTATATAGGCAAAGTCACTAGTTGCCCACTTAGTCCAATAGGCGGTAACGAGGGAGCCGTGTGTACATCGGTGATTCGATAGCGGGATTCGGCACATATATGCATTATTGAACTCGGCAAAGTTAAAGGTAAAGAGGAGGGTA